GATCAAAAGTGAAAAGATGGATAATTACAAGAGATGGTATAATAAGAAACTAAAAACCATATTTAGTTTTTATATAGAAATATAAAAATATAAGTTCATGAAATTCATTCTTTATTCGCTTTTTTTGTACCGTGATGTTGACATTTTTGTGTAAACTAGTTCGTTTAAGTTACATAAAAGTTTTATTCTTATATATCGGATGAAAAGGAAATGTAAAATATTTTCATGAATGTCATCGAAAGAGACCACGGATGAACTTTTTACGTAAAAACATGTTAGACACTTGCTACTTGAGAACACAATAAATTAATAATACGAGGAAAAAAAGGGAAAGTCACTCTAGAGTCAATACGGGCCGGCTGTTTTTTAGTTTTATTGTTTTTTATTAAATTTTATGCAAACGGCAACAAAATCAAGATGGGCTGCTGCTATTAAATATTTTAAAATTCAAAGCTCCGCAGCCTCTTGTTCAACAATGGACTGCTTGTCTTGCGATTTGATGATATTATTCTATTTTACATTTTATTCTTTCTTCAAAACTTCGAAATAGTTGGGATAGTTGTAAAAATTACAAACATCACTAATAATTTTATCCTATTGAACAGGGCCGGTCCATTCTTTTTTTACTACCCGGCGCTAGATAAAATTTTTATGCCCTTTTTTCCGTACCGTAAAATAGAGAAAACATATATATATATATATATATATATATATATATATATAGATTTTATTTAAAAGTTTATAATCAAAAAAATAATACAAACAAAACCTACAAAAATCACCTAAAACAATATATTCATGTATTTTTTTGAATCGAAATCATCTCTTATTTTACAATAATCCATATTTTGTAAAAAAATCACTTTCCATACTTAAAATTATTAATTCATTCAATCTTTTTGAGTTATGGTACTTCGGAGATACGATTTGAACGGATGACCAAGAACTTTCACAATTGTGTGCTTCATCCCGCAACATTTCTGCAAAATTTAAAAAAAAAACAGAAAAAAAACTCGAAGTTCAACAAATAATTAAATGTCTTTATGCTTCCGATTCACATAAAAAAAACAAGAACACAAAAGTTTAAAAGATAGATAAAAAATCTACCCAAATCAATGAAGAGAAATCATAAATCAGAAACAGATAAAGAAAAAAACTAAGTATTATAACAACAATGGAATAAACTTATACTTTCTGCCTCTAAAAGTCCATATAGTAAAAGTATTGAAAGATATTTAGAACTCTAATCGTAAATTTTGTATCTAACTTAACCATTTATCATGTAAAACATCATATATTCTTTTTGAGTGAATACACGTTTTTTATATTGTCCACACGCAATCATGGATTCACGTTAAAAGCATGTGACCATCAGAACTCTAATGAACACATCCATAATGCCACTCACTACCATGGCTATTTACATCTAAGGGTTTAGAAAACGGATTGGGTCGAAACCGAATGCTCCATCTGTTCCATATTAATATTAGATGTTTCCTTTTTGGTTTGTCCCAAACTAATAGATTACTTCTAAAAATAAATATCCTTTTTACCAAAATACCCTTTATTATTAGTTAAACTACCATGAATTTAAATGCAGCTACCATGAAATTAAATACAACAAAATGGTACAACTGTTATTTCACTTAATAAAGTTAGTGATAATTAATGTTTTTTTAATCTATGTTGTCCGTGGACAATAATTGTGGAGCGGAGGGAGTATATAAAATAACAAAAATAGAAACTACTATGATTTAGAGCGGTTCGACTATGGTTTACAATCGTTCAACTTCTTAACATGAATTGATATAACCTTACGGTTTCAAATACAAACAATACAATTGTTAAAATGATGTCATATCAAATACAATTGTTTTATAATAAAGACCAGTTGGGGTAATCAAACCGAATTTAATTTCAAATATGATTGTTTAAAAGAAAGACCAATTTGGGCATTGTGCCAAACTACGAGCCGACTTTTAAAGGACTTTAAATATGGGAATCGAACGGGAAATGGACTTTTCAAAAACTCTTAAAACATGTTTTTGAACGGGTTTCGACCCAATCCTAGTATGGTTAGCTGGTTTGGTCGGTCCATATTAGGTCTGTGATAATGGGTGAGTGTACCAAAAATTTAACAACATACACCAATGCATTAAAGTTGGGATGTGAAGACACCGCACACAGGACACAATGTGATGATATGGCACTATGGTGCCTCGGGTGAACACCGCCCCTTGTTTTCCTCACTTTTTCCCAGCGACAATCAGAAATAATTGAATCTTACACCTGACCTTTTTTTTATTTGCTTTCTTATTTATACAATACAAGATCCTTTAACATATAAAAAGTGAGAGATAATCATTTCCTAAATGAAAGGGGAAGAGATGGAAGAACGCAAGGGAGTGGCATGACGTTGATGTGGAAAACAAAAGGTAAGAGGTGTGGAGAAACAACACCAATAGAAGGATAGCCTAATGGGCCTAATTATGGAGTGGGGATTGACATGTAATATTTGGTAAAAATAATTGAAAGCTTAGATTTTATTTGGAACTGAAAGTTATAGTTTTTATTTATATAGAAATGTTTGGTAAAAATAGATGTAAAATTTTAAAATGTGTAAAATTATCTAAACTGACATCTTAATAGATAAAAAGAAACAGTATCTTTATTCTTTAAGCATAAATAATATTGTTATAATAGACATGAACCTTTCTTTAAATGTATTTGAACGAGTATTTTGTTTTAAACTAAAAACTTTAAGTTCATACCCCCACACGACGATTGACGATTTCAACCTTTTTTTTTTAGAAAAGCTAAAAAACTGAAGCTCCTAAAGCTATCAAATACTCTCTAAAACTCATTGCCAAACACATCACATTCTTTTAAAAATTTGGAATTAATGAACGAGCTTTTTGTATAAAATCACATACTAACTAATTTTTGGATACCTTAAAAAGATAATTGTATCAAGTTTCAAATTTCACTCCCCCTTTATAGATTTTCAATATGGCCAGAGACCGGACGTACAATTTCATAGTAGGGATGTCAAAAGAAATTTTAATAGTGTCACAATAACGCTACAATAATAGAAAAAAAAATTCGAAATTTTTTACATTACGTCCGAAAAAACCTGACGTTGCTGGTGCCACTACGGGCACCATAATAAAACTGTCAATAATTATGGTAAAATGTGTTGAAGAAATCATTACTTATTATTGAGTTTTTGGAAAGTAACTATTAATATTGTTTTTTAGTCGGGTTAATCGTATAAAAACATTATATATATATATATATATATATATATATATATATATATATATATATATATATATATATATTCTATTTAATGTTTTAAATCTATTTTTTTATTTGAAAATACCTTTACATTTTTTTTGTTTTTATTTTCTGACTTGGCTATTTTTACCAAGTTTATTGACAATCTTTCAGTTTTATATAATATTTTTCAAAAAAAAAAAACTCATTTTTTTTGGAAAATTCTCACATTTGACATACTTTTTCCTTTGTACCGTTTTTTTCGTTTCGGTTCCTTTTTTTTTTTCTTTTGTTTTTTTGTTTTTTTGTTGTCGTTGTTGTTGTTTATGATGTTCTTGGTGAATTTTCAACATTAAAATCTGAAAGAAATATTAATTTTTTTAAACAAATAGAAAGTTTGTTGTGTCTAATTCTTATTTGAAAAATGCATAAAGGTCAATTTGGAGATACTCAAACAAGACAGACGAAAAATATTAGTTTAGATTGAATTGGATTGGCATCTTAAACTGTTTTTAGAATCAAACAACAAAAAAAAACTTCTAGACTTCGATCTATATTTGGAGTCTAATTTCAGCCTTTATGTTTTCCCTACAAAAGATATTAGGGATGAGCATATGGATCGGAGAACCGGCCGGAACCGGTACCGGCACCGGAACCGGAACCCGATGGAACCGGTCGGGCCGGGACCGGGACGTTATTTTTGTGGATTTTTGGAACCGGGAACCGGTAGGAACCGGAACCGATATAACCGGAACCGGTAGAACCGGTAAAAACCGGAAACGTATGATGCTATTTTTCAATGACTGGTTCCAACATTTGAAGACACGACAAGAACCGGTAGGAACCGGGAACCGGTAGAACCGCCGGGCCGGTTCGGTTCTTGATTTTGGCCGAAGCCGGTTCCCGGGTCAGGCCGGTTCCTGCCGGTTCGGTCCTTTTGCTCATCCCTAAAAGATATTTTTAATCTCAAAGGTGATTCGATGCATAATAATCTAATTACATTCCTATAAGATTTATTCCACCCATTAATAGTCATAAGAGTCAACAAATATTATAAAGAATAATCTAAGATTCCAAGTTGTTTGTCACCTACTAACTATGATAATCCTGCAATTTTTTTGTATTTATTTTTCAACAAGAATCGGACACAACAATATTTCTCTTTGTTTAAAAAGATCACATGTTTTCTTCGGATTTTAATGTTGAAAACCAACAAGATTATCATAAAATTGAACAATAATGAAAAACAGGGGTACCATAAATCAAAACAAAAAAAATTGGTACAAAAGGAAATTTTTTGTCAAATATAAGAGTTTCTCATAAAGAAAATTTTTGAGGGCTTCTTCGAGAAAAAAAAATGATTTTTCCGGGAAAAAAAATCTATAAAAACGTAAAATTACCGATAAACCTGTTAAAAAAGTCAAATCACGAAAAAAAAATGTAAGTTTTTTTTAAAATAAAAAAAATTAAAACAAAAAATCCAAAAATATAAGATTTTACACAATTAACCCATTTTATTCTTTAGGATCAAAATAGTCAAATTAGAGAATCATGTAAATAGTTACTTATAAAGTACTGATTATTGAATTAAATGAAAATTTATATAACCATCTCTAACTTTAAACACATAATATTTGATTATCTTATTTTTCAAACCTAAACACCCTCGTATATATATATATCATGTTCTTTGTTTTTTCATGGTTCATTATATTGATTTCGTTCCCATTTGAACTTTATAGATAATAATTAACATGCCAAATAATAATATAACCGTTTAATAAAAATAATTTAAAGACTGCCATGCAGTATAACACAATAACCCTTCTGACCTATTCTACTAACATGTTAGCCAAGTATAACTCAAATCAATGATGTTACTACAAGTATGTTACAATTGACACCTCTTTTCTTTTACATGATGCTCCAAGATTTTATGAAAACCTTGATAAAAGTAACTGCTTCCATTTAACTATGAGTGCAAAGATGCCAAATACAGGGATGTGGATTAACCCCAATCCAAAATACCTGCGGTGAATCATTGATCCCGTGAGTGACAACATCTACAAACATATTGCATACCTCAAAGTTTTTAACTAAACTTTTTATTTTAACTATTAAACATAACACAAATCAACTTATTTACAGAAAATTATACCAGATGGGAGCATATGAAGATGATAAGTCAAGGAAGGGATATGGCCACCTGTAATAACAATAAACAAGGTCAATTTTATATATATATATATATATATATATATATATATATATATTAAGTCAAAAAGATACAACTCCTTATACTAACTGTTTTTTTTAACCATTAAGTCCATGGGTAAACTGGCTGAATGGATAACGATGTCTGCGTTGATAAAGTTTTGTATATATAAACTATAAAGTCTGTTTCTTTAATAAACCATCTAAATGAGACCATATTCATCAAATTTACACTTACCTCATTGAAACACAAGCATGAAAAATCCACTGAAAGACGACAAACGAACATGTCCACAGACCAAAGTATGCTAAACGGAAGAATGGAAACCGCTGATAAACAACGCCCTTGTTACTTTCATTAATTTGTTTATTATAGCATCCTACTTTCATTTTTTTTCTTATTAGTACAACATTGTAATTTATAAAATCTACCAATTATAGCAATGTCACACAAATAATAATTAATTTTCATTGCTATAGTTGGTTAAAATTTTCAACCAATAGCATCTACATAAGAAAAAAAAAATCAAAGTACAATGCTAAAATCGGGTCAATTTTTAAAAAGTATAATGCCTTGATAAGAAAAAAAAGTTGAAAGTACAATGTTGTAATAGAAAGAAATGAAAGTAGGATGCTATAATACAAATATAAACAAAAGTACATTGCGATTTCTTGCTAATTCTGTAATCATTATGGAGGTTGGAGGAAATGTCAAAAGTGATTAAAAGTAGTCCATGAATAATTTGCAACTTACTAGGCGATTTAGAATCACATCAATGAGGAGGAGAACAACGTTAATAGAATGCAAGCTAACATTTAACTGTAACAAATAAGTATAAGAAAAACACTCAAAAATAATATATAGAAATCAATCTATAAGCTTTACACCAAAAGTGAAAGAGTAAAAAACTTACAAAAGTCAATTTGTAAGTTGCAGGAGCAAGAAATGGATAGATTATAAACCAAAATACACCATCAGTGAGCCCCACAGCACCTCCACATATCTGTGCTTATAAAGACAGAGTGAGAAATGAATTTTACAAATAAATAAACAGAAAAATAACATTTTTATTTTGAAAACATGCCTGGAATACAATTTGGCATGAATAAGCCCATATGCCAGCTGTCTTGCGTGTACTAATATCTCCATGGTTACTCAGTTTCATGGACATATGTTGAGGTTCCACACTCACTTGTATTAAAGAATCCTCTAAACCCACATCATTCATATTATCATCAACAACTTCATTCCAATATTGGCAACACCCGTAAATGGAAAGTGAAGATGCAAGCTACACATGAAAAGGAGCATATTATAGCAATGTGGTTTGTAAAATGGTTAATACAATTAGCAACATTACATACCCCAAAATAGAAAGTGACCAAAACAAAAGTCCACCTACAAATCACCAAAAGAAAACAAGATATCCATGAAATCTGACATGTGTAGTAAACTTAATTTGAATAAACAATGAAAGGGATAAGAGTTTGAAGTAATAAACTTACTGAGTGTAAAAGAAAAGTACTCTAGCTCCACCAATTACCAGATTAGAAATGATCAAAGCCAATAGTACACCAAAAGCAATTAATCTATAAGCAAGAAGCCAAGCAGGATGAATTACTCTCAAAGAGGTTTTCCAAGTTTCGTCCTCATACAGAATCCCAATAGGTTCAGTTTCATCATCTTGTTGGTGACGTCTCTTTGTGTTAAACACTTCATATTTGAGTATTAAAATCCCAGCTGTTATAATAACAATGACGACCCATGATCCACAAAGGAAGAACCTCCAATTCAACCAGTAACTCAGGGCTGTTGTATCATCCATCAGTGGTCTCTGTAAATCGATGTTCCTGTTCATAAAGCTGTATGATTACAAATTCTAGCTTAATCGCCTAATTGGCGAAGGATCCGAATAACTTCTGTTTCACACCAAAAGTCTAAATGATAATGAACCGCCATGTTTGAGGTGGTAGTAGAACAGACACCAAATTCAGTGCATTTAAACTAATACCAACTAAGAAAGCAAGTAAACAAACCACATAGCATGAATATGTCAGAAAACCGCAGCGATGCGTGCGATAGATATCGAAGCAAAACACCGTCAACGGCGAATTGCAGTTCAATAAAATGAAATTGAAAACGAATTCATCATTGTGAAAAATAGATTATACAATTACAACTATACATAAGTATAAATCTAGATATCTACATCTAAAATCAATGAGAAATCAGGTCAACTTAAAAGGATTCATACCTCGAGGGAACTCGAGAACTGATTACTTATGTACCTGCGTTAGTTCATGGTTATCGATCTTCCACTGTTATGTTGTAATCACGGATCAGGAGCAAGGAGATTTGGGATTGGACGAAAAATGCTACTAGCTTTTGCATAATTTGCAGTTAGTTGTTGATACCGAGACGATGCTCAACGAAATTTCATTTGGACCTTAAAAAATAAAGGGAAATTAAATAATATAACCGTATTTGAAAAAAATAACTAAATAACAATGTTTATATAACCGTATTCCAGACAAAAAAAAAACATTTTTTTTGAGAGAAAAGTTTCAAATTGATATTTTGGAATTTCGGACCAATATTTTGGATTTTGGAACAACATTCCAGATTCATGACAAAAATTTTGGATTCCGAAAAAAAAAAACTTTGAAATTTCGAGGAAAAAAATCATTTTTTTATTTAAATATAACAAAAAGTTAGACAAATATTGTCAATATGAACTATATCAGTACATAAAATGATACATTTATTGAAAAACGTAACATTAAACACTTCAAAAATAGACATTTCATACATAAATAGGGATATTTAAAAAATAAATAAATAAATAAAAACACAAAAAATAGCTTTGAAATTTGAAGATAAAATCCGAAATTGAGCATCCGGGAGTAAATGCTTATTTAGACAACACATTTCGTATATAAATAGAGAGATTTCATTGAAAAAAAACATTAACTTTTAAATATGAACAAAATGAGGCATTAGAAAGAAATGGTTATCTTTTTGAAAATCTTATTTATAATGTTAAAAGGTAAAACCACATTTAGCTTTTTTCACTTTAGCCATGTTTGATCTTTATTTATTCCCTTAAAACATGTTTAAATTTTAATGTTAATGTTGAAAGGTAAAACCACATAAAGATTTCGAACTTTTTTTTTATATAAATTACGGTTTTATCGTAAAATCATTTTTTGATGATAAATTGAAACTTGTAATTTTTTTTTCATATATTTCATTTAGCAAGTTTTTTCATTCTTAACCGATTACCGTTGTTGATGTGACAAGTATAAGTTAATTTAGACACGTATTATTTCTGAAGATTTCCTTGATATTGTCATTTTTTTTCCTGTGGAAAGTTCTAAAGCATGAAACTCCCTTTGTTCTTGGTTTTTTTTTACTATCTTGTTTATGACATTGGACCATTGGAACCCTAAAATGAAAAAAGATCTTGTTTTTAGTGTAGAGAATTTGGGTTGGAAAATTTAGAAACATGTTCATTGCATATTTTGGTTTGGTTTTGAATTTGTTAGCTTCTTACCGCCATATACATTGTATAAATAAAAATGGTTTTGAAAATATTTTGAGAGTTTGGCTTAGGAATTGGATTATTGCCATCATCCAATTCCTTTCCAAAGTCTCACTTATAGGCATTTCACTTATCTTTTAGAGTTATAACAACTCATTTTACTTAGGAGTTGGATTATTACATGTAAATTGCATATTTTGGTTTGGTTTTTGAATTGGTTAGTTTCTTATTACTCAATTAGTGGTGACATAGCAAGCAAGGGTAACAGATAATATAAGTTTATACCAAAATATTTGTCAAATAAGGTGACATGGACATGCACTATTGATATTTACTCACCTTTGTACTTATAGTCTCCTTGTTTTGTTACTATCATGGCTACTGGATCTGGATTTCTCAATGAGACATGTATATATCTATGAAACCATATTCCATTACATAAACTTCAAACAATGCTTTTTTCCGTTAAAATTATATTTTTTCTTGTAAAGTCCATGTCTTCGTCAAATAAACTCAAATCCTAAGATATATTGACAACAGATCCCTTGGCGATTCTAACTAAAGAGCTGCCCAACTTAACAACTCAAATCAGCAGTGAGAAGCTACTGACCGTAAGGAAATAGTTTTCTTAGAAAAAACTGTTGTTGATCTTGTTGTTCCTTATGCTTATCTGTAAATAATAGTGGCGTCCTTATTGCGGGAGATGAAGAGATGAAAGATTCATAGTTTTCGAAGACCTTTCCATTGATAAGGCATTAATGTCTTCTTTCTTGAGGTTTTATTATTTTCATGTATAGATAGATCGTTTATTCTAAAACCCAATAAACCTGGGAAACTATGTAGTCACTCAACCACCTAAAAACGACAAGATTGATTGATGCAATTTATAAAGTCTTGAATAAGGTCAAGTAAAGTTTTGGCCCCATCAACATTTATAGATTTAGCTTTTGTCAGTTTTATCATGTCGAAAATATTGCCTTCTTCATTTCAAATTCTTTTAGTTTTGAACAAATTATAAAAATGCCACTAATGACTAAATAACTTTTTGGACTACAAATTCTCGATAAATAAGTACCAAACATTTTAGTTAAATGTTTGATATGTAATCAATTCGACTCAAGATACGACTTAACCCTAACGATTAGTAAAGTCATTAGGCCAAACCAATAATTGGTTTCTAACTCAAATTGGAATCGGATCGGATATTTTCAAAATTCAAAATTGCATTTTTTTTTTCCACCTCCACCCAAAATAAATAAGACCCATTACCCAATGGCCCACCATTTTGATATATTTGTTTGATCAAATAAAGACTGTGTAATATGAGCCCAGATAAGCCCATTTTGTCTCGAAAACCCTAGTCCTATAAAAGTTTTCCTTTTCCTTTCAAACTCTAGTTCCTGAATCCCACACGAAATCGCCGACGATGCAGATCTTCGTGAAAACCCTAACGGGTAAGACGATCACGTTGGAGGTAGAGTCCTCTGACACGATCGACAATGTGAAAGCAAAGATCCAGGACAAGGAGGGCATCCCACCAGACCAACAACGTCTCATCTTCGCCGGAAAGCAGCTCGAAGACGGCAGAACCCTAGCCGACTACAACATCCAGAAGGAGTCAACTCTTCACCTTGTCCTCCGCCTCCGTGGTGGCGCAAAGAAGCGTAAGAAGAAGACCTACACCAAGCCAAAGAAGATCAAGCACAAGCACAAGAAGGTGAAGTTGAGCGTTTTGCAGTTCTACAAGGTCGATGATTCAGGAAAGGTGCAGCGGTTGAGGAAAGAGTGCCCAAATGCTGAGTGCGGAGCTGGAACGTTTATGGCGAACCATTTCGATAGGCACTACTGTGGTAAGTGTGGACTTACCTATGTTTACCAAAAGGCTTGAGTTTTATTCAATTAGATAATTATCGATCTTTCTTTTACATGTTATGTATTTCTGTAGTTGATCTGTTTTTAACCTTGATTTTGGAGGTTTGTTTTTGAATTCAACATCTTGAATGCTTTATATTTTGGGTTATGGATGTGTTTTAAAATTAAGTCTTTGCTGCAGTTAGTAAGATTATTCAAAACTATAATCATATTTTTTTGTAGTTATTAAGGTTGTTCAAAAAGGATAATTTGATACGCTAATAATCTGACATAACACCAGTTGCTGCTTTTATCTATATGATCCCTCTATAGGATTTCAATGAATAATTTGGCTATTATCTGTATCGAGATCTTGGTTATGATTTTTAATTGAAGCTGAACACTAGTCGCTGTTTTTATCTATATGATTTTTAATTGAAGCTGAACACTAGTCCCTATTTTCAAAATTTTACTTGGACCGTTCCTTGTTTGTTTAAAAGTTGCACGGTTCATCCTTCATTAATTTAAATTTGCACGTGTGATTCTTTGTGAGACTTAAAAATACTATATTGCCCTTGTTTATTTTCTTTTTGATTGTTTATTTTTTTTTATTAATTATAATATATAGAAAATGAAGTGAGCCTCACACTTACCCACCCCCATCCTCTTTAGTCGGATGCCCTAAATCCCTTTTCACGTTTCTCTGTCTTCATCTGAAAACCTTCCCTTCCCTTCCTGTGAGCCTCACACTTACCCACCACCTATTTCATCCCCTGCACGTAACGTCGCCATATCCTCCAAGCCACCATCGCCTCCTCATTTGTGTGTTGCTACTGTGGAGCTCGACTGTGGAGTTGGACGGACCACAAATCTCCTCTATGTCTGTCCTCCTTCTTTTCCAATCTAAATACTGATGAGGTTGAATATAGAAATGGGTTAGTTTATTGAAATGAGATGATGACGATGCAGTGGATGTGGAAGGGCAGAGTTGTAGAAGTTGAAGGTATGGAGGATGGTGATGTGTAGGTAGGAGGCGGATGAAGGATGGAGAGAAAGAAGTCATCTGGTGATTATTTGGGAATGGATTTGGTGGATTTTGCTGATCAAATTGCAGTTCTTAGTTAGAATTGGGGGAGGAAGATTGGATTTTAAAAGAATACGACAGAGAACCACCATTCGCAGCTGCTAGCACTTGTACTGGGTGGCGATCTAAAAATAGAGAAAGAAAAAGGTTGGTCTCGACGGAGAAAAGAGAAGGAGTGCCGGCGTTGGGTGGTTGTCGGTTGTGAGTGTAAATCAGAGAGAGGGAGAAGGAAATCGGGGAAGGGGAGGGGAGGGGTGGGATGTTAACTTTTTTTTTTTAATCTAATAAATAAGTAACAGAAAAATAAAAAGGAAATTATTAAGGGTAAAATAGTCATTTTATGTCACTAGGAACTAACCGTGCAAGAAAAAACAAATTCAGG